ACGATAAGATTAAGCATTTAAAAGATAAATGATTGCAAATGAAATAAAATACTTTGATAAAGTAATCATAATTTTCGTATAAACAAATTAATCAATGGTTATCATTTTCAAAAATAGACAGCAATGGAGGCGTAATATTGTGGAAGGAGAAAAAATGGTAATTTATCCAGTATTAGGATGGATTTTTAAAAATGTTGATATGATGAAAGAGCGGGCATATTTGGCCAGATATCTCACCAAAATCGATGTCCCAGGTTTTAATCATTTTCTTCTCATTTTATGGAATTTTATAAATAATTTTCATGCCTTTAACAGAATCATTCATTATTGTTTCTATTTGTTTATTAAAAAATTAATTTACAATGAGTTGTATTTGTTTAGCGAAATTAATCGAATATTTATGCAAATAAATGGGCAAGAAATCAGAGAAGTTTAATTTTAAAATTAAATTTGAATTAATTAAAGAGTGCATAAATTCAGTCTATGATCATTTTATATTGCATGCATGTTTTTTCCTTTTTTAATTATTGTTAAATTAATAGTTTATCGTCTATAGGTGCATTTCAAGATCCAGAATTGATTGAGTTATCGAATCAAATTTCAACTTTGATGGAAGAATTCAAAGTGAGCACTTAGCTAAACTATTTGCTATAAAATTTCTTTGCTTTCTTTAATTAACAAATTGTTAACTGTAGAAAATTTTGCAAAAAATATTCAGAAATAAAAATTACTTTATTAAAAATAAAAATTGAGTGAAAATTTTCATGGAAATTAAGAAACAACTAAAAAAAATTATCAAAAAATGAGGAAGAAGCCTGTTGAAACGTTATGTTCTGTCTTTTAGGATATACATTCGCAAGTTATAGAAACTCGTAAAGATTCATTAATGATGGAGAATATACGAGCTGATTTAACTTCTATGAAAATCGAGAAAGAACAATTAAGCAAACGAGTTGATAAAATTGAGCGTAAGCTTCACGGTATAGCAAATATGGAACGTTTGCTACGACTTGCCGAAAAATGTCGAATGGAAAATGAACAATTGGAAAAAATTGGACATCTTAAATTGGAGCAACAAAATTTGGTACATTCATAATTTCATTAAAATTCTTCACTTATGAAAAGATTATATTGATCGATTTTCTGGTTTGACAGGAATGATTTAATAACAAAAGCATCATAGGATTGTGAATTTAGGAAATCTTTATCAAATAATACTTCTGAAATGATTTCATTCAATTTTTTTCAATTTTTTTTTCGCATTTTGCAAACTTTTCTCTTAAAAGGTAGGAAATTTGAAAAAAAAAAATAAATCATACATTTTCTTATACAGAACTATTCCAAAAAAGTTTTTTTAGAAGTTGGCAAATAATTAACTTTTTAAAATGCTAATTTTAAATAATAGAAATACAAATATTCTCCAACTTCGTACAATCTATTAAACATATTGTTGATAGTTAATCGGAAAAAAATAATTTCATCGCACTTTATAATGTCATCAAAGATAGTGGAAGTAATGAAAGAATTTCGGTGGCAATCAGTTTAATCAGTAATTTTCTAACTTTACAGATTTTATTCAATGATCAAAAGTTACAGCGTTTGAATATTTTACTTGAAGAAGTAAGAGCAGCTGGTGAAAATGTTGATCCGACGAAAAGAATGAAAGCTCTAAAGGTTGCTTAATCGCTTTTTCTTTGCAAAATTTAACCTCATTTAAGGTGCAAGAATGTTACATAAACGATTTAGGCAACATAAAAGTATGCCGAAAAAAAAAACCATTCATAATATTTTGTTGCACATCAATCCTTCTTCATCAAGAAATTTGAATTATCAACAGATAGTTTAATGATTGATATTTTAAATCTCTTCTGAACTACCTGTATGGCACAATTTGAGATTTTTAATTGCATTGTACTGGAATATAGTTAACATATCATTTGTTTAAATATAATGAATCGTTTTTTTTTATTTCAAGTGATAAAAGTATATTTTAAATGATAAATTTGATCATATTGTTATATTTTAAAATTATAGGAAGAAATGGAGACGAATCGTTATATGGTTAATGAAAAATTACCGAAAGAAATTGAATCAAAAAAAGGAATTGTTGCTGACTTAAAGAAAGTGGTTGATGTTGCTGTTATGGATAAAAATGATATCGCTGAATTGCAACAAAAAGTGATATATTTTCAATTTTTTAATTTTACCTAGTTATAAATTTTAGCTAATTTTAGCTAACTAGTTATATGCTAAGTTATAAATTGTTTATATTTATCTTTTTGAGTTTTTCAGATTGACAAAGTGAATCAGGAAATTATGGATCTGATAAGTGAGCGTGATCGTAATGATGAGAGTACGGATAAGCTATCAATTTATCGGCATCAAGCATCATCTATTTATAAAAAGAAAGCACAGCTGGTTGAAAAATTGCAAAAAGCGCGGTATTTACTTTAAACTAAATTAAATTAGATAAGCTATAGCTTTTTTTCCTCTTACTTTTTTCTTGAGAAATGAATTAATGGATGTTAAATGGATTAGTTTGACCATATGACCGTGAGAAACTTTTTTGGAAAGGATATTCGATTACTTTTACGGTTTTGTTTATGTCCTAAGTTTGATTTATCTTATTTATTACTCAATACACTGAGAGATTTCTTCAAATTTTAAAATCTCACGAATTTTTTTTTGCAGTTTGGAATTGCAAAATATTACAAATAAGGTGGAAACGAAGGGGAATAACTTACGAGAAAAAGGTGGCACAGATTTTGTGATTACAACCACACAGGTTTTACTCGTTATTTAAAACTTTTTATCTGATACTACAGAGTAAATAATTCTAACACTTACGAAAAAATTCAATTTCAAATTAATTGCTCTTTTAGAACTATTTTCAAAAAAGTAAATTTTTTTGTAATTTTAATAGTTGCAATTTTTGTTTGACACGATTGGAGCTTAAAGGTAAAATGAATACGATAATAGGTTAAATGTTGATACTTATGCACCTCAAAATTGTATTTGAAAATTGAAAATCTTATTTTAAAAAATTTATAACTTTGATTGATATAAGACCATAGTTGCGTCAAGAAATATATTCATTGTTAATGAGTAAACATTCTTAATTTTTTTTTACATTTGGTATTGTTTTTGAAACCATTTTTAGAAGATCGATTTTTTTCTTTTGTAATTTTAATATTTTCAGTTCAAGAATTATACCAGTAAGTTACGCACTAAAACATCAAATTACAAACGGAAACATGCTGAAATAAGTGATTTGAAGAGTGAACACGCTATACTATCACGTACTGTCGATATTCTTGCAAATCAGTGGAAAAAACTTATGCAGAAAATAGTTAGCTATTAATTTTGAAATATAAATTAGCTTTAATGAGAACGGCTTCTTTCCGCTGAGAACATTTTTTGGCTATTTGTAAAAAAAGTTTCATTCTTTGATGATCACAATTTTGCTAATTATTGTTTATTATTGTTGTTGAGTAAGTTTTGTTCTTCAATGTTTGTCCACTTTAAGGAGGAAAATGGTAGAAGGATAATTGAAAGACATGATGCAAAAGATGATGAAAAATTTGAAAGTACCAAACCGGAAACAAATGATATGAAAAAGTTACGTGATATGATTAGCAAATTAAATCAACAAATGGATTTAAAAAGAATGACGGTTGATGATTTCAAACAATCAAACGCTGAATTAAATAAGCATCTTGCTGTAATAATAGTTCTTTTTTTTAAAATATATTTACAATTGATAAAACAATGAATAGATGGCTTATCATTCAATGGTTGATAACAGTGTTATTTGTTGTTTAAAATTAGCAACTATGATACAAGTAATATTTTATGAAGATATTGGCATATTTTTTGATCCGTCAAGAAGAAATCTTAAAATACAGCAATTCATTGTATTCTTTTTAATCTGTTTGGTAATCTTCAAATTATCCCATGCATATTTTTAATTCATTAAGGATGCTATGGAAAGTTTCGATGCGAAGAAACGAAATTATGAGGCATCCGAAGCAAATTTTGAAAGTGCTTTTCGAGAAGTTGAAGAGGTATTTTTTTTGTCACATCTCTTATCATTTCTTTAAATGCTTCTCAAAAATTTCTAGTCATTAAGTTTAATTACCAACTATTAAGTTTAACTGCTATCTTAGCTGAATCATACAGTTAAGAAATAAGGTATGTGACTTTTTTTTAGGATGTCAGAAATATGGAAGATGAAATGATTACGAAGAAGCGGAAAATTTTTCGTGCTGACATTGAACTTAAAATCATGAAAACTATTTCAGAGAAATTGAGACAAGATGGATTAAAACTGATTAATCAAATAGAGGTTGTCGATTTAAAAAAAAAAAAAAAACAAACGTGAATTTTTGCAAGCAATGATTATTTAATATATCACTTTGCATTTGTTAAAAAATTGAACTTTTCTTTTAAGAAAGTTAAACTTTAAAAAATAAACATATTGAATGCTTCTGCTTCTAATTATACAAATATTCAGAAGGAAATTAGCCGTATCAATAAAGAAATGGAAATTTTGCAACAATCAAATCAAGAAAATAAATTATCAGTCGAGGAAGCAACTGCTCAAGTAGCAATGTGGCGATCATTAATGAAAATTTTTCAACTTAAATTACAAATAGCAGAAGGTGAAAATAAGAACAGAAGAACAGAATGAACGATCAGAAGTGTGATTTTTATTAATATTTGATCAAAAAAACATTATTGTTATTTTTAGGAAATAAAAGGTAAATAAAATTTCATTTTGTCATTACTTGTTTATAAATGGATGTAATTCTCTTCAAATCAAAATATGCGGTTTTTTTTTTCTTTTGTTTTTACTAGAAACATTTTTAGTAGTGTGAAAAAAATTTTTTTTAAATGATGCAATTTTTGGTAGGGAAAAAATGAAGGAATGTAAGAAAGATTACAATTTAGATTATTCTTTCAAATTTTTTCTTCTTTAAACAATGGATATTTTTTACAATTTTTTATGATTCATTTTTGCAAAGTTTTCTCTTTCAATTTCATGACAGTATATATTTGTTTCAGTATTTTTCTAGATTAAATGATATGATCATTCATATTAGATCAATTCCAATTTCGTATTATTAAACTGCACATGTAAAAAATAGGAAGAAAAAAAAAACAAACAAACAATTATCTTCGCAAATCCACATATATTCTCTATTCTTCGAAATCCATCTCATCAATTTTAATTCTTAAAAAAATTTTTTTTCATGATATATCATGGGAATAGATCATAGTGAAATCTATCAAATTTGTTAACAAGCATAACATTTCTAAGCATGTCTTTATCATTAGATTTATTATAACTAGGCATTTTATCAAACTTATGCAAAATGGACTTCATTTTCGTTAGTACTCGTTTCTTTTAAAATTTCTTTTTTTTTAAATTCTTTTAAAATCTTTCAATAAGGAATTTTAAAAGAACATCTTGAAAACAAAAAAAAATTTTTGATTTGAAGTGGCTTACACTCCATGGACTAAAGAGAGACAGATTAACTAAATTTCGATTTTAATTTGCTTAAAATTGCACAAAAATTTGTAAATACTTGAAGAGTGTATTTAGTGATTGGAAAATATTAAAGCGTAAATTTCTATTCATCAGTGAAAAAGTACTGATAAAAAGGGAGAAGAAAAGTTCAAACAGAAGAGAAGTTTATAATCAATTCAAATTGTAAAACGACGGTAATACACGAAACTAACCAGGTCGTTTAATTTGCATAGATTGCTATCACTCAGGCGATAATGAAATGATTTCTTCTTAATTATTGTAATTGATGATATCAAATTTGAGTAAAATTTTATAAGAATTTGACCTGAGTTTTAATAATTTAAATGGGTAAAGATGAGTTTATAATACATTTACGTATAAATTTATATATTTTTATTCCTTACTCTTTTTTTCATAACATTGCAATCTTTCAAAACGATCGACAGCTGAAACAATTTGAACGATATTTTGGTTATGAAAATTATTTAAATTCCAAATTCAAAAAATAAAAAAACATAAAAATGATATGCAGTGTACAGACTGCCTTATTACAATGATATCTCATTCATTCAATGATATACGGAAACGGATAAACCATAAAATTTTTCATGTTCGTTCGAAATACAAGAAAAATATTTCTGAAAAAAAGGAAAGAAAAAAAGATAGCAATTAAATGATAAGTGAAGAATTCAATGATAAACTGATGATCGTTCCATAAACAGATTGATTTCCGGATGATCATTCCGTTCATGCTATACTATTAACACAAAACCTGCAAAGAATACCAACTGAAAACGGTAACTGTTTACATTTGCAAATGTTACATTACAAAATGTAACTATAGATATACAAACTTCTACAATTTGCTGCTTCAAATGGCATTTGTAATTTCGAATATCAATAATAATATCAATATATCTAAATTTTTACATTCCAAACTTAATAAAAAAGGCCTGAAGTTTGTATAGAATTTTGAATATAAAAGGAATGATACGCTCATATGAAATCAAGGAACAAACTTTAATCAAACGCATACTTTATAATGAATTCGCATAGACGCGAATGCAATTCTGAAGCATGCAGCGATCGAAATTTTTCTTGGAATCAGATGATGGTGCTTGAAGTTCGAATTGATCCGCTTCTTCTTCCTAAAAATGATAAATTTAACTTTTAAAAAAACTTTCAACATTCCGAGTTATCTGATTTTTTCTTTCCAACAAATTCCAAAAAAAAGCTATTGAACACAAAAATACAAAAAGCTTACACAAAAATACAG